TATTGAATTTTCTGAAAATAATTTCAATAAATCTGCTATTAGATAGGGACTTATTCGAATCATATCTTTCTTTAATTTTGTTAAAGAATTTGTAAATCTGTATACAAAATATAATAATTTAAAATATATATATATATATATTTATATTAAATAAAAAATATTTTACTTACTTTTCAATATCTAATGCAAGACATTTGAATATATGTTCATCAGATTTATTAATAATATCTTTGGATTTATATGTAAAAATATTTAATATTTGTTTAAATAATATCAATAATAAAGGTATTCTATCTCTAATTAGATTTATTCTTACTTTTAGCAATACATTGCATAATGCTAATGTATCATTACAGATTAATATTGTATTTTTTTCTAATGATTTTAAACTAAAAATTATACTCATATCAATAACATATCCAGGAAGATATAAATGTTTAGCAACAAGAATATTTTGAATTAATTTCAATAAACTTGACAAAAATTTTTCTGGTATATTTATAGTTTGTATTGTTTGAATTAAATTATTTATAGCTATTAAACGTAATTTATTGCGATCATTAGACATATTTATTTTTAAGATAGTATTCCATATAATACAAATATTTTCCAAATTTTTTTCTTGTGTATTCAAAAGAGTTTTTACCTGTAATAAATTAAATTAATTATTAATAAATTTCAGTAAATATTTTGTTAATAATGAAATTAAATTATTAAATATATAATACATAATAATTTATATAAATTAAAAAATTATATAAATGCAATTTTTTTGTGACATAATTCATAAATTTTTTTATTAATTTAGTATATATTTATTGTATAATATATATGTATACTATAATATTATACATATATTAAACATACCAATTGATTATGTAATTCTTCAATAAATTCAGAAAATTCTTTTGGTTCACTTAATTCTAACAATGGTAAAAGCACATCTACAAACGGATATTTAAATAAAGTATACCATATTATTTTTATAGTCTGATTTGTAATTTGAAATATTTTTTTATTATGTAATATAATAATCATAAGTTGTAAACCATTTTGCACTAATTCATTTGAAATTTTATTATTTTTATCATTCTGTAATTAAAAACTCCATTATATATTGTGAAATTTATAATATAAAATTTTATTAATTAAATTATATTTACCACAAATATATCTTGAATCATTGATTCTGCTATATTTTTTAATTTTTCATCAATATTATCATTTTTAATACTAATTTTTAATATTAGACATAATATTTTCATATGATCCAAATTTTTTGTTTCAAAATATATAGTTTTTATCATAATTTTAATTAATTTCTGTTCTGCCTTTTTAATTATTATTTTTTGATTAATATTTAATTTTGGTTTAATATTTTCCATAGATTCTAATAAAAAAAACATATTTTTATTGGAACTAATTGAAGATTTTATATATTTTTTCATATTTTTATATGAACAATTCCTAAGAAATAATTCCAATGGTTTTTTAAATATTCTATTTTGAGACAGGAATGGTAATAATAAAGAAGGTTCTATATATTGAAATATATCAATGCTAGATCTTTCCAAGAGATCTAAAAATGAAAAAAATTTTATATATTAATAATTTTTGATTAAATATCTATATAACTATAATATACAAGATGTGAATATATCCGTGGAATATTTTTGATTTTAAAAAAAATAAACATAAAATGTTGCAAAAATATTGATCTTGAAATTCATTTATTAAATTATAAGAAATTAAATTTTGCAAAAGCAAGATAAATATATAAAAAAATAGTGATATAATAGAAATAAAAATAGAGATAGCTCTAGATGATAACTCATTTCATAATGCAAATGTTAATTATTATAAATTAATATATTAAATTATAAATAATTATATAAATAAAAATAAACTTTAATCAATATTTTTATATATATTTAGATTTTATATTTGTTTTGATCTCTAAAATAGACTTTTCAAAGATGTTTCACGAATATATTAACATTTTGCAAACAGAAAAGATACCTGAAAACATAGTATTGCACAAAAAAACTATTTCATTATTTTCATTACATTCCATTCGAAGAGTAAATAAGAACATAAATATGATTAATTTTAAATTAGTACTCAGAAACATCACTGGTAAATGAAGTAATACTTCTAAATATACTTGAATTTTACATAAAAATATATTTTGTATTTGTACCCATTTATTTATTAACAATTCCTCCTTTATAGATATTAATATATTATTTATTCTTTCACATTTAATAATTTCAGCTTCAAGTAGACATTCCTAAACAGATAAATAAATATAATATATAAATATTTAATTTTATATATAATATAATATTTTAATAATTTTATAATTTAATATAATTTAATATAATTTAATATAATTTAAATATTGATAAAATATTTATACATAAGTTTATTATACATACTGCATTAAAACATTTACTAATAGATTTTGTTGTACTTTCTGTTATTAAATATCCAATTTGTGTAAAAATACAAGTTATTATAAATATTATCAATCTTTTATTTTCTTGTAAGTCACTTTTATGTAATATCTTTACCCATTTATTAAAATTATCCACATTAGAAGTCATATCTGCTAATAATAAATGTATCACTTTTAACATTTGTTCATTATTTAAAAATTGTATTATTTCTGTATCAAATTTTAATATGAAATGCCAACAATATTCTAAACCACCTATTAAATCATTAAGCATCACAAAAGATTTATTTAATTCATTTTGAGACATTTTAATTCGTTGTAAAATAAGTTTATTCTGAAATCAAAATATATGTAAATATAATTTCTATATGATTTTAATATAAAATGAAAAAAGAAAACTTTCTAAATTTTTATAAATTACTTTCATAAAAAAATAAAAAAATTTTAATAACATACCATACTATTCTTACATTTCTCATTTCCAAATTCTTTAACTTTTTTTATCAATTGTTGCCACTGATGTTCTGATATTGATGATACTAAATTTTCTGAAATAATATTTGGTATATAATAATTTAACATTCTTTGTGTTTCATTCCATGAATATATTGCTGTTAATAGTATTATAACTTTTTCATCATAATTTAATCGCAATATTTCAATCATCAAAAGTGATAGCACATTTTTTAGATCATTGAAAGCAATTAAAAATTTTTGATATGAACTAAATGTTCTATTATATTCAAAAATACATATACCATCTAAAAATGTAATAAATAATTCAACTATTGCTCGAAATAATAAAATATTTTCACCTATAATAAAATATTAAAATATATAAAAATCAATAATAATTCCATTATTATAATTTATAATTATAACTTATAATTTATAATTATCATTCTTACCAATGTTATTAGATTGAAGCATTTGCAAGAAATCTGTTTTTAAATGATATGTCAATGTTTTTAATATACTTATACTTTGTGAATTTGTTATATTATTTATTGCTTTTATTAAATTTTGTTTGAATTCATTTGGAAAAAACATATCATTTTCCATAATTGATACATGATTTGAATTATCTTTTAAAACTATTAATATTGCTGAAATTAATTTTTCTTCCTGTTTTAGATGTATAGAAGCATCCAAAATGGAAATCATTAAATGTTTATATTTTAGTCTTGATTTTTCTACAAATATTTTTTTAAATATATTTTGAATTCTCTTCTCAATTAAAAGAGGATTAAAATAACAAAATTGAATCAAGAGATCATAATCTGTGTTATTCATATTTTTGCTTTCTAAAATATCATCAATTATATTTTGACAATAACTAAACAATGTGATATCATTTACTTTGTTATTAAAATTAAATGTTACATCATTTAAACATTTTAAAAGAGTACTTAAAATCTTTTTTCTATATATTCCAGAATATTCAATTAATTTTCTTAATATTATATCTAATATAATAGTATTTGATTTGAAAGTACTAACTGCTACACGAAAGAAAAAATTAAATATCATTAAATTGCTCTGCAAATCTTTTATTTTTGCATTTTGTATCAAAATAGATATATTTTTTATTATATTTTCATCTATTAGAAATTCTCCACTTTGAATATATTTTCTTTCAAATACTAATTGCTGAATACATTTATGTGTTATTGCACCCAATCTATTACTATTATCAGTACAGGTATGATCAATTATAACACATAAAGGATATAAAATATCATTTATAAATATAACTTTCAAAATATCTTTCTTAATAAAAGCAGATTTATAAATTTGTATTAAATTTTCTATAACATTAATTATTGTATTATATGCTGTTAATATTAGTTCATTACTTTTGTTAATTAATGAAATTTTTATTCCATCTATCGAGAATTCTTTAATATTAAAAGCATTTTTAAAAATGTTATTTACACATTCTAACAAGGACTTTATTAAAAGTCCTAAATCTTCTGGTTTACTAATAAAATACTGTTGAATCCCACTATTAGAAGTTAATAAACTACAGCATTCAAAAATATCTTTATATATATATTTCATATCTTTCTGAAATGTTTCAATTACTTTTTTTATTAACATTTTTATTATATTTGTCTTAATATTCAAATATTTAATTTTCAAACAATTTTTTAATGAATTCCAAATTTTCTGATCCATAGGATGTATATTACAAAGCCATTGTAGAATATGGTCATTTTTATGTATTATTGGTATGTCAATAGCACAAAACGCATTTTCTGCTAATTTTAAACGTTTGGGTAAAGGTTCTTCATTTGTGTTTAAACGTTTCAATAATTCTATTAAGTAAAAAAATATATTTATTTATAATAGCAAATATTTAAAGGTTATATTTTCATTCATGTGTTAACTTACCTACTGATAAAGACATTTCAAATATTTTTATATTTCACAATAATATATTCAGTTTTCAATATATTTCAATAATTTTTTAATAAGATATTTTAGTACATTATTTGTACAATTACAAGATATAAATGTTGTAATATAAATATTGTAATTTTATTTTTATTAGCAGAATTTACTATTCTCTATCTTTTTTTGCATAATATTACTCTTCATATCAATTTGCACATTCCGTGTTATTATAAACACAGCTTCTAATGTATCTATGAAATAGCGTCAGTAAACTAAATTCCTTTATTTATCTTCTTTTTCTAATTTATGGGTAAAATGTATTTTATCAAGAGTTTATAAAAAAAAAAAGTTTTAATTTTATTTTTTTAGAAATATTTGTTTGACAATATTGAAAATGAATCTATATGCAAATATTTCAAAGTGAAAAAAAATATCGAGAAAATTTGGAAGAGAGAATTTCTCAAAAAGAAAAGAAAAAGAAAAGAAAATAAAAAATCAAAATTTGATATATTAATAAAATATAAAAGAAATATTAAAATAATATAATAATATAATATTTATAATAATATGTATTTATAATAAAAGTTTAAAATTCGGTTTCATTAAATACACATTATAGATCATTTTTTGTTTAAGAAATAAATTATCTTTATTTTGTATTATTTTTTTTAATTTTTATTAGCATTTTGCTTATTAATTTACTATATATTTTATTCAATATAACAATAAAAAAGATATTTTAGATACATATAATATATATAGGGCAAGAAATATTGTCATTGTAGTTATTAGATAAAGATTTTTTTATTTTCAGATATATCAATATATTATTTTAAATTTATTTTTATTTAATAAAAAATAATTTCATTTTTTGAAATTATTATAATTATACATATAACTTTTGTACTGATAGAAATACTTTTAGAAATACTAAAATATACTATATATATAATACTATAATATACTATATATAGTTTCTTTACATTTTGGTATTTTTTTTACTTTTAAATCAATCATAATTGAATGCTTTTTATCTGAAATTAATGCAATTTAAATATTTCATAACTTAATTCTCTAATGTATATCTATCAAATTAAATAAAAAAATAATACAATTTTTTTTTAAGATACATAATATTACATTTATGATATATTATTATTTTATTATTATCAAATTATTATTAACATAAAAAAAATTTTCCTTTATATTATTATTTCCTTTATATAATTTTCTTTTCCTTAAATATTCATTATTATGATATTCTTATTTTTTATACTATGTAATATTTTCTTGTTGTAATAAGTTATCAGATTCATTCTCAATTGTTGCTGATGTAACAAATATATTATGTTCTATAGTTTGTTCAGAATGTAATGTATTATATGCTGTAACAATTTATATTTGTATTATAAATATATATGTTATTATAATTAATTTTATGAATATTTTATAATAAATATTTACTTGTACCATGATGAAATGATTTTATGCATAATATCATCAACATGCCAAATATTGCAGAAGTACCACAAACATAAACTAAAACATCTCTGTAGTAATTTTTACAATCAATCCAACAGTTTCTGAGAAAATAAAAAAAATATTAGCTTTGTTTTGTTTCTTTCTTAAATAATTTTATACTAACTTATTAATTTTATACTAACAAATATTGAATAAGCATAACTGCTAAACCATTACAAAGTTTATCTGTAAAACTCATAATACCATATACAAATGCACCATTATCTGTATTTTGACCTATAAAATCTGCAGTAATACCCAGACTAGTCACTAACATAACAGAACCAGCAGATCCTATAATAAAAGAAATTATTTATTCTCTTAAATTCAATTTGAAGAATTTTAAAAAATTATATAATTGTACCTAATATTAAAAATACTAAATAGATTTGATATCTTATGTATGTTAAATCATTACCAAATTGTATCCAAATACAAGCACATACACCTAATACAACACCAAAACAATATGAAATTTTTCTACCTAGTTTTGTATTCAATCTTTCTATAATTAAAGACATTACAAAACTACTTAAATACATTATTAAAGGAATTATAGCTAAAGATGTAGCTGGCATATTTAATGATATATGTAAATACAAAGGTACATAAATTTGTGATAAGTTTATAAACAAACGGGTAGGCATATATATACAAGCTACTTGATATAATTGAACATCTTTTAATATTAATGATATTGTTCTTGAACTTCTATTCACTAAATCTAAAATGAATATAATGAAATAGATTAGATAGATTAAATAAGATTTTAAGTAAATATAATATATAAATATAAAATTATTTTTACCATTAGAATTATTAAGATTCTCTTTAACAAAGATATGAAATAAAAAGGAAGTTATAGTTCCTATTCCAATTCCAATAAATACAACTTCTTGAAATTTTGTTGTATCATCAGGACCAATTTGAGAATTAGAATCTTTAGTATTTGTTATATGTAATATTGCCCATGTAATACAATAAACAAAAACATTTGAAAGAACTGTGAAACTATATCTAAATAAAATATTCAAAATTATAATTCATTCATGTAATTTAAACAACTTTTAATAATTAAAAGATACCTAATTGCAATGAGTTCTGTTCTTTCATATTCAATGTATGTAAGTTCTGGAACTAATGATAAATGAGATATTTGTACTGCAGCCCAACCAAATTGAAAAATTATAACAAATGCTGCATAATAAATTAATTGAGCCCATTCATGAGCTGTTTCACATCCAATACAACGAGAAAATATAAAGGGAAATGCAAATAATATACATAAAGTACCTAAAAATTATATATATTAAATTATATTATATAATAAATATATATAATATATATATTTTTATTTAATAAAATATATGTACCTATTAAATGCCATGTTTTTCTTTTTCCATATTTACATAACCAAAAAT